CATCACAAATATGTCTCTCATCTTCAACAGACCCATCAGTAATGAGGAAAATGATAGGGATGGAATTGCTACTATTAGATAACATTCCAATGGCCTGACAAGGGAAAAGCAATTATGTTAGTGTTGTCATAGATAAATTCCACTTGTGCAACTGAAATAAAAAAATGAAAATGGTTGTAACCCAAGAAACGAATGGTTGATCAATCAAATAAAGTTATAACAACTGAACTTGGAGAACATCCACATTTTTTAAGACTTTCTGACTCCATCTCAGAAGCATCAGATATGCACATTTCATTTGTCTGCTAGATGTAGGGCCAAAACTAGAAAGGAAAATAGAAAGTGAGCATTGTCCAAGCAATTAGAAATCTTGGATGAGCAAGAATGCAGAGATCAAGCCAGGAGGCGCTACAACTCTCTAGTTAAGATAAGCAATTGAGGTAACCATCAAGCAATTAAGATTATACATCTCTGGTAACAACATTGGCCCTCTGAGTAAAACATCTTGGCCTATGCAGTGCTGAAGGGAAAACTAAATCAGTTTATTTCGTATGTGAGTTGCACTTCAATTTTGTAAACACATAAGAGAGAATCAAGTATGTGTGCGCTAGTAGGCGGAAGGACTTGCAGTTAAACAAAGAAGATCTTCTCAAATTACAGGACCATGCAACTAAACCTGATTCAAAGGAAGAAAGATATTTGTGCCACCTCCAGCGATGAAGTTCAAGTTAATCCACTGAGTGACATTCTCAATAGCTTCCACGGTTGCCGGTGTCAGCGATGACGAAAATAGGTAGGTTTCATCATTGAATGCTATTACACAAAACAAATCTTCGGGATCAAGCTTTGAGAGAGCTGCAACCAGGGCATTTTTGGCGTCATCAATAGGTTTTTCCCTCATGCTTCCACTTATATCAACAACAAATACCACTTCCTTTCTGAAAACCTATACAACATGGAAATCACCATTACTCTTGGAAACACAATGTTAAATGCCGAGCAGTGATCACGAAGAAACAGAAACAGGTTAAGCTTTATTGCTTCAAGAATATTATGACAGATAATAGATAACCTTTCTTTCCCAAGAATACATGCAGGAAACCGAATTCAGGTATTTGCTCCATTTTCATGCATTCGTTTGACTAGACAATAAATTTAGAAAAGATTATCACAGCACTCACTGTTCTCATCGAAGATTCACAAGTATTCCGTAATTATTTACAGGTAAATATCCATCGGTTATATCCTTGTCATTTCATCATTATCCTCTGTTGTATGTAAACATCTTTCTCGCTTGATCTCGAAGACCTGTTATCTTCATAAACAAATTGAAAATATTTTTTGTGTTTGGAAAGGATGACTCCTGTAATTTACCTTTACACATTAAAGATTATCATCTGTGCAATAGCACTTGTGTTATCACAAACTTTTTATTAAGACAAAAAACTTGTTACGTAACTCTGAATGTATAATTCTTTGTAAAGTGCCTTCGGATTACATGACAATAATGTATAGTAAATTGGCTACAAGCGTCAAGCCACTATATTTTATGGGCCACATTTCACCACTCCCTTTGGTTCACCCGATACATTTATAACAACATATATGAGTCACCACTACGTGACAATTAATTTTTTTTTTCAAGCATCAACATGTAGGTAAGTGCAGGCAAACAACTACAGTGGAATTCTCGTCCTTTGCTTTTCCATCAATAGCAATGCACTTCCACAAAGATTTATTAATTTGCAAGACAAACTTGAAATAATTCGGTGTTTAATTCACCTTTTCATTCAGCTGGTTTCCTGGAAATAGGTAGCTACAGAACATTTCCCTTTGGTCAACGTCGAGTAATGATGGAGAATTCAAAAGCACGCTGCCAACTGTATGACTTGAAGATATCTGAAAACATGCAAATCAGTTTAGAACATAATTTCCTCTCTCTACTCCAGAAATGCATCACAATACATAAGCGTATTTATCTAGGATAATTAGTTAACAATTGATTTTATTAGTTACATGGAAAACTCAGAGTAGAGCATGATCTATTATTCAATGGAATAGCATCAATGTCAATTGATGTACATTTAGATAGAATCATACTGTATATGTAAAGAAAAAGTCACTGCTTGACCAAGTAAGAACTTCAGATTCATATGAGAAAGCCAACTTTCCTGCTTGCCGCCATAGCTCCTAGTTCAATAATATAAACTGCAATCAGATCATTTTTATACAACTTGATATATAATTAGTAGAACCCCCACCCAAAAAAAAATAAAAATAAAAATTGCACCTTTAAAGGATGACTAGTTGTCTTACACAAAACTTCTGTTCCAGGACCAGAGTTCACATTAAGCTGTATCTTTTCCCTTTTGGAAATTTTCTTTCCGGCAGGCGTAACATATTCAGGGAAATTAAATGGAATTTTCAAGGTGAAATGTCCATTGGAATACAGCAATTTTTGAGACCAGCTAAACTGAACCGAAAGATTTGTTCCTCCGTCCACCTGCGAGAAAAAAGGGCATATTAATTTACCAACGAAGATGAAATTCCACCAAATGCCATAATAGGTTAACCACCTGCGGGATTGTCAGAGTGAATATATGGGGTTTCAAAAAGCCTCCATCTTCAATAATTGTCATCTTGCCTGTATCTCTTTCATTGTCCAGAGCAATCAGTTGAGTACTATACGATTTCCTGGGAACGTCGACCTTGAACCCTAGAATTGAACCCTGTTAGCAAATAATACAACGTTTGAGAACAAAAAAAAGGGAACTAATTTCGTAACATGAAACATGGGAAAAGTATAACAGGAAAGCTCCGTTAAAACATATTAAACCTCTAATGGAACAGAAATTACAACCGCAATCATTGGAACAAAGCAATATTTTCTAGTTATTGTAAAAAAAATCATCAAAGGGGAGAAGGAAAAAGGAAATAGCCATGCCTACATTGGCAAGCAAGAGAAACTCAAGTTAGTGTAAGGGTGCAGAACCAAAAATATATTTGCTTAAACGATCATTTCAACTACCTGTTCTCCCATAGGAACCACGAGGAGGCAATCGCAGCTGCGGCTGCCCATAACGCAATGCAAGCGCCACGAGCCGGTAGCTGTAACAAATGCCGTGTCCAAATAGCAATCAACCTCGAGAGAAATCCCGTTCATCTGCAGCGGAATCAACGCCGGGGGATCGCACCTGCCGTACACGTGAGGCTGGTAGCTCGGGATGTCAGGATTATCGACGATAGCCGGGTTACCAATGACCGCGTAGATCATGGGAGAAGCCGGGAGGTAGGAGTGGACGTCCTCCCTCACCATCGCTATCGCTGGCTTCGGCGGCGCCACCGCCCTGCCCTTCCCTAAGTATATCCTCTTGGACAGCCGCAGGCCGTCCTCCACCGCCGCCTCGAACGCTTCCGCCATCGATGGCGTAACAAATGAGAACTCGGAGGATTCTTAGGCCGTTCGGAGGCTTAAAATCAATTAAAATTCAAAATAAAGTCAACAATAATAACTATATTTTCAATTTTAATCTCTTATTTTGGAATAGAATTTATTGTTCCTTTCGTTTCGTGGATCAGAGTTTTCATTTTTTTCATTTTTTTTTTCTTTTTTGAACTCTGTAGCCGACTATTTAGGTTTTCGTGTTTTACCGTTTACGTACAAAAATTTTGGGGTAATTTTCTTCGAGGTCGCCCAATTTTGAACAATGTCTCAATTGTGTCATCCAACTTTAATAAGTCTCAATCAAATCCTCAAACTTAATAATTATTACAATTCAAATCACTTCATTAGATGGCGTTACTCAAATCTTTGCGTGGATGTTAAAACCTAACAAAAGGTCTGCATGAATGATTATATTTTCTTCAATTCAAGATACACCATGAGTTGGCATTACTAAAACTAACGAAAATTGCATGTGTGGATGTTATTATGTTAAAACTTGACAAAAAAATAGACATGGATTAATTTTTAAAAATTTTATAATGACAATTTCTATTTAAAAGTAAAGAAACACGAGTTAAAGGATGTGATTTGTTCTACTCTTGAGCTATTTTTTCCTATGAGTTCATTGTTCAATAGTACATAGCATCTAAACATTTTCATTGTCTATCTAGGTCTTACGTACACTCGACTTATTTTTGACGTACACATAGACATCCCATGAGGTACATTAACATCAAGTAACATAATGACAAGAATTGAAATAATTATGAGATGTGGTGACCGATTGAGATTTTGTTATAGTTGGATAACCTAATTAAGATTTTTTTCCTCCAATTTTGATGACCTCCGATAACATTTATCCAATTTTTGGAGAAAGAGACGGCCGTCAAATAAAGTGGGACCCTATATTCTTCTCCAATCGAAATTTCATGAATTCATACAGAAACAATACAGATGAGTGGGGGTAGACCCCATGTGAATTAAATATTGCCAAAAAAGATGGGGCACACCTATTTGTGTTATTTTGTATTTTTTTTTGTACATATAGACCTTCTCTTTTACATTTGAAATCTTTGGGAATATGTATCAGAAAGTGATTTGAAAACCACCAACTTTTCTTTACATTGTCTACCATTAGACAATGACGAATAGCGAAATAAAACTATGTTTGACCTTTATTTTGGTAAGAAAATGAATTTTAAAATAGTGATTTTTTTTAATAATATGTTGTTAAAAAAAATAAAGAAAAAGTATTCGATTTACATGTAAAATTATATTATAGGGGAATACGTGATTGAAAATGAATTTTAAAAAAATAGAGTCAAACATAAACTAGGTCTAATTGATTGCGGGCCTTCTTGTTTCCAAGTTGACATGTGGGGGAAAAAGGCGGTATGCCAATTGGGCAAATGACTTTTTTTTTTAATTATATTAACTTACGAGATTTAGACAAAAATATATTTATTTAAAAAATATGTATTAGTTTGAGAAATTTAAGAGATTTAAGAAAATAAATATAGTCTAAAAATTTTCAATTAGATTACATTGTGAAAAACTTTGATAAGTACAACCTTGCATAGTATGTCAGGTGCAAAATTAAGAAGCAAACTGAAGAGATGCAGATAATTCCAGAAGGTAGAAGAAGAAAGGCAAGAAAAACTGTTGGAATGAAATTCATTACTCATGAAGTGTTCCAGCTCACATATATATACACCAAAGCATCTAACTAACATGCCTAAAGGATGGATAAGAAATATATAATTACATAAATATCCTTTATTAAAAATTCTTTTAACACTCCCCCTCAAGATGAGGAGTGTATAATCAATACTCTCATCTTGCATAGTAGTAACTTGCTCTTGTGATGTCGTGTATAACATTTTCCTCCCCCTACTTGAACTTTATCTTTAACCAAATGACAATCAATTTCGATATGTTTCGTTCTTTCATGGAATACCGAATACTTGCTATGTGAATGGCAAATTGATTGTCACAGAATAACAAGA